TCTCAGAGACAGTTCCCTGTGTCTCATTTCAATGTCAAACCACCATACACCTTATGGAGACCACATCATCTCCTTTGATCCCTCCCAATGACCTCCCATCACATCTTATCTTACTTGGCGTTAAAAAATGGTCCTTCAGCAGGGCCCTTGTTCTAACGGTCTGAGAACAAAGAAATATCTATTCCTAACACCACACTTGTTACATATTAATGTTCCATTCAGCACAACTTCGTAGAACAACATGCATCTCTAACATATTCACCTATGCAAAGTAAAAGTCTTGTAAACTTAAGCAGATGCTTTGAAACACAAAACCTAACTTCAATTGATTAAAGAAAGTTAGGGCAATGGTTTATTTCTCCTCGTATTATCTTCCTAATGGATCTTTTGTTATGTCAAATGTGTAGGTGAATGTCCTTGATAGTTTGAGATACCGATTCCTGGAGGAAATAGGGGTGGCATTACTTAATACAGGGGGAGGTAATAGATTGCAGGTACATGTTTAACTGAGTAAATGCATTAGAAAATGTATTTAGTAAATGTAATACTATAATATACTATTCTATTCACCTACATTTTTTGAATTTTCTTATTTCTAACGTTATTAAGATATTTAATTGTTAACTGCATAAACATGAAATAGTCCATTATAGGATTATTATTAAGGATATACCCACAGGTGGCACACAGAGTCATTTGTGTGGGCACGCAAGCCCCAGCCAAACTTACCTGCACTGCGCATGTGTGCGCCTCCCAGCTGATTTTTGGCCTGTTTGAGGGGAAAAACGGGCCTTCTGGAAATACCAGAAGTGCCGAAACGGGCCCGTTTTCCGGCCTCCCGAGGCTCCAGAGGCCCTCAGGAGGCTGAAAACAGGCACTTCCGGTATTTTCAGAAGGCCCGTTTTTTGGGCCTCCTGCAGAGGCTTCCCTCGAGCCTCAGGGAGGGCGAAAGCTACCTTAAATGGGCCAAAGATCAGCTGGGAGGCATGCGCAGTGCAGGTAAGCGGGTGGGGCGGGAGCATTGCACGCACATGCGCAGGGGCGTGGAGTGCATTGCGTTATGGGGGCCAGCACACGTGCATGTTTCCCATCACTGGGATATACAATTATTAACTGTAAATATGACCATAAATATGAAAATTAATATAATTATAATAAATATGAAATTAATATTTTATTATAGGATGCTTGTTAAAGATGTATAATTGCTAATTATAATAAATATGAAAATTAACAGCGTACAGTAGAAAAAGATATGTGGAATCGGATAAACAAAAATAATATAGTGAAATATGCTATTAGTTAAAGGTGATTGTATTATTGCTAGAATAATTCGCTGAATTATCATTAGGGTGAATATTATTTTGTTGGTAATACAACGAGATCAGAAAGAGACTTTGTTTTAAAGATGCTGGTGGCACAGCCAAGAATCAAAAGGGGGATAAATAAGAGAGAATATAAATTAACATGAATTTATGAATGGTTATAAAAATTATATATTTTGTTAAAGACTGCAAATATGGCCAGTAATATATATTTATAATAAAAGAAGTGATGTTAAGAATATAGAGACTGACATAAAAATAACACATGGGAATTTGGAATAATCAGGATAGATCATTTGTATTAATATTAATTATCAAGTTAACAGTTTTAATATGAAATCATTGTCATGTTTGTTCTAAAATGTAAAATACCCTGTAACCACACTGTTCGCACAATGATATGTTTGTAGAAGAAGAAAAAAATTAAAAATGTATTGGGGAAAAAAATGTTTGTGAGCTGCGCTATTTTTTTAGCTCAGCTGAGGTGTGGCAATCCACTCTGCCATGCGTATCAGCTGAGCTAAAAAAACAACGGAATATAGCAGAGGTAACGGCAGGTGCGGGTGGGCGGGGCCAGACAGAGGTATTTGCCGGTTCTCCGAACTACTCAAAATGTCCGCTACCGGTACATCAGAACTGGTCCGAACCGGCTGTTAGAAATGTAAGTCACGTAACAGTTGGGTTGGAAAATATATAAACCAGGATAGACATTTTAATACTGTCTCTTTAAGGGAATGCTAAAATTATAATTGGGTAGTGGTTCCACAAACGGCCATAAGATGGAGCCAGAAACCTGGTTTGTCTGTTCTGTTGTTGCTGAGAGTGTTGCTGTTCCTTAATTTCCCTATTGACTGTTGCTGATCGTTGTTATTCTTGGATTTGATGCGAGTCTTTTACTGAACTGTTTATGATACTGGACTTCGTTATTGGATTATCCCTGGACTGAAAACTGACCGCTATAACTGTGTATGACTTGGACTGTGTTTGGACTTTGCTTAACCGTTTACTGGAAGTAAAACCTACATTTTACTATACAGTGTAGCTGTGTGCTGTGTGTGTGTTATTCAACATTGCTCTCACTACGTCTCCTTGTGTGCACTCATTCTCCTAACGGGGAATTACCTCAACTAAATACCGCCTCTGAATCCAAAGCAGCATCAAATCTGAGAGCATCCTGCTCTCTCGTAGGCTGAGCCCTTGTCTTTCTCCTCTCTGGTGAGGCTAGTCCTCATGAAACGCGGCAGCACACACCTGAGAGGCAGTCCAAGTGGTGATCGCAAGACTCTCCTTCGTCTGACGTGGTCTCGTTGCCGCTTTTGTGAGTCCGCCCTGGCAGGGCAAACGAGAGAAAGAAGAAGGAAAGCGGTTCAGAAATGGGGTAGACGCTTCCTAACCATGGAGGCTCCATCTAATCCTTAGGCCCATCAGCCATCTCTTCTGTGCATTTCCCCAATCCAGCCAGGTTTCTTTTTTAGGGCACCCCACAGGTGAGAGGGAGTAAAACAATTTTTGGATATACACTGTAGAACTGGACAAATGGCAAAAACTGTGGGAAAGAAACTGTGAGTTGACAATGGCAACTACTTATAAGGAAAATCTATATAAAATGTTTTATAGGTGGCACTTACCACCAGCGAGACTAGCAAAGATGCTTAAAAATTTATCCACCAGATGTTGGAAATGTAATAACACACCGAGTACGTATTATCATATGTGGTAGATGTGTGCAAAAGCAAAGAAATATCGGACAAAAACACATACATGGTGAGAAAAAAATGTTAAAGTAGCACTTAGATTATAAGCCAGAAATATTTTTGTTACGCATAGTACCCAAAAAGTGTGATAAAGGGATTATATATTTAATCTAGATCTATATAAAAGCGAAATACTCCTCAGGCATCATCACAAAATCTCCAGAACAGTAAAGCCTACAAACTAGAAATTTGGCATGTATCTTCCTTTTGGCTTCTAGGTGCTCTCTAAGAAAGGATTTTTCCAAATGACCATCAGAGCATTTAGAGCAGGGGTGTCCAACCTTGGCAACTTTAAGACTTGTGGACTTCAACTCCCAGAATTCCTTTGCTGGCTGAGGAATTCTGGGAGTTGAAGTCCACAAGTCTTAAAGTTGCCACGGTTGGACACCCCTGCTTTAGAGTATTTCCTATATTATTATTATTAACACGCTCTGATGCTAAGGAGTTCTACTCCCCCTCCACACCTGAATTATATCTCTTCCAAATGCAAAACACAAGCGGAGGAGAGGAGTTTCAGTTTTAGTTTCTCAGCACCAAGCAGCTTTAGTACAGAACTGTTGAGCTAAACCACGCCCAGGCTCCTTGCTGTCTCCTTCTTGCTCACACAGCAAATACTGCTTCAGTTTCCAAACAGCCCTCAACTGTCTCACACACCGACAGGACGCTAGCCAGATGAATAGCGATGGATGCTGGTAGGCAGAGGCACAATTTTTTCCCCTTATTTTTCTCCCCCAAAACTAAGCCCGACCACATAGTTTCGTAGCGAAGCACAGGTTTCAAGCTAGTATTACATGTATTAACAGCAGCAAGAATTGTATTTGCACAGCCCTGGAAAAATGAGGGGACACCTACAGAAGAAGATGTAATTTAAAAAAAAATTAGATTGTGCAGAGAATGGACAGATTGACATTAAAGATGAAAGAAAAAGACGACACAAACATGGGGGTTTGTTTTACAAATGGTTGGATAATAGAGGTAGAAATTAGGAGCGGGAAAACTATTATTATATAAGCAAAATGATCCAGACTGTTCCCTAAACATGTATATATGTAATGAGAAAATGTATAAATAAACTGGTAGACCAATGGTAGGATTCAATTTTTTTTTTAACTACGGGTTCTGTGGGCGTGGCTTGGTGGGCGTGGCTTGGTGGGCGTGGCAGGGCAAGGATACTGTAAAATCCCCATTCCTTCCTCACTCCTGGGGGAAGGATACTGCAAAATCCTCATTCCCTTCCCACCCCACTAACCTGCTTTCCAGCTCCGTTCTCCTGTGCAGGGCAACCAAAGAAGACCCAGCCAATCAGCTAGGACTCGATGGGAGGCGGAGAATAGATGGGGGCGGGGCCAGTCAGAGGTGGTATTGGCCCGTTCTCCGAACTACTCAAACTTTCTGCTACTGGTTCTCCAGAACTGGTCAGAACCGGTTGAAGACCACCTCTGGGGAAGACCCTTCCTAACCATGGAGGCTCCCTGTAATCCATTAAGCCCGCCGGCCGTCCCTTCTGTGGATTCCCCCAATCCAGCCAGGGCTCCTTTTTTTAGGGCACCCCACAGGTGAGAGGGAGCTTACCTTTTTTCCTGTCAGAAGTCCACATGTCCAGCCGCAGGTCTTCGTAGTCCGTCCAGTCGAAGAGCGCCATGTCCAGGGTGGGCATCACATCACCCTCTTGCCGTTCGCCAGTCTGGGGCCGGGAGGAGATGGCCCCGAGAGGAAAGGAGTCCTCCGTCAACGTCTGGGGCAGGGCGCTGGGGAGGGAGGTGGGGCCCGAACCAGCCGCAGCTCCTTCCCCGTGGAAGGGCCGAAAATGTTCCACAAGGCTGTCTGGCTTTTTCACCAAGGCTCGGGGTCTCAGCTTGGAGCCTTTTCCTGAAAGAGGCAAGAAACCGCAAGCAGGAGAACCGTTCAGAGAGAGTGCTCCTGCCTGGGGAGGCTTTGCTAAAGTCCTGGAAGGATCAGCTGGCAATTAGACCCAGGAAGGGCTTGGTGGCTGCTAACCAAACCGCCTTCACTTTGGGGGGGGTGTGTGTTCCACATCGCCTGGGCAGAGGTAGACTGCTCCTTATACTGGAGGAGCAGAGGAATCGTCTCCGCCATCGTTCAACATAGAGCACCCTAAAAGGCTGGAGAAGGGAAATCAGAAATCAACTGTACCTACCCTTTGCTCAACACCTTACTGCAGGGCAATGATGGCTCCTTGAGAACTCCCAGAATCCCTGAGCCAGCACAGAATTCTGGGAGTTGAAGTCCACCGGTCCTAAAGGAGCCATCATTTGCCCACCTGTGCTCTACAGAGATGCCGGCTAGACAAATGACTACTAAACACATCACTTCCTTCATTTCCTCCCCCTCTGTCAACTCGTAAAGAATTCCTATGCCTGTTTTCGAGTTGCCATAAGCTGGGGGGCGGGGGGAGAGTCCAGAAGTACATTCCAATGCATATCTTACAAAGATTGTAGCGAGGCTACCGGGTCTTCTGCATATGACGAAAAAACTTCATTGGAGAATGTGATTGATGACGCCCAGTGCTTGAACGTGGTTTGTTGGAGAATGTGATTGATGACACACCCAGAGGGGAGGGGGAAAACAGGGTCACAGTTGACCGTAATTCAACGTGTGTCAAGAGTTGGCTTCAACTAGGATAATGCCGACATGTTGCTCCTAATAAATCTTTTGGATTCTTTTGAAGTTTGCCTCGTGGCTCATGATTTGAATAGAATAGAATAGAATAGAATAGAATAGAATAGAATAGAATAGAATAGAATAGA